TTCTCTGTTGCCCAGGCTGGAGTGCAGTGGCACGATCTCGGCTCACTGCAACCTCTGCCTCCTGGGTTCAAATGATTCTCCTGCCTCAGCTTCTTGAGTAGCTGAGATTACAGGCATATGCCACCATGTCCAGCTAATTTTTGTATTTTTAGTAGAGGTGGGGTTTCACCATGTTGGCCAAGCTGGTCTTGAACTCCTGACCTTGTGATCCGCCCACCTTGGCTTCCCAAAGTGCTGGAATTGTAGGCGTGAGCCACCACATCCGGCCAACAGACTCACTCTTAAAATAACCCACTCCCAAGATCACATTAGTCCATTCATGGAGATGGAGCCCTCATGATCTAATTACTTCTTATTAGGCCTCACCTCCCAACACTTGCTGCATTGGGGATTAAGTTTCTGTATCAGTCCATTTTCATACTGCTATGAAGAAATACCTGTGACAGGTTCATTTATAAAGAAAAAGAGGTTTAATGGACTCACAGTTCCACATGGCTGGGGAGGCTTCACAATCATGGCAGAAGGTGAAGGAGGAACAAAGGCATGTCTTACATGGCATCAGGCAAGAGTGCGTGTGCAGGGAAAATGCCCTTTATAAAACCGTTGGATCTCATGAGACTTACTCATCACCAGAGCGGCATGGGAAAGACCCACCCCCATAATTCAGTTACCTCCCACCAGGTCGTTCCTACAACACGTGGGGATTATGGGAGCTACAAATCAAGATGAGATTTGGACACAGCCAAACCATACCAGTTTCCAGTGTATGAATTTTGGGGGATACATTTAAATCAGAGGACTTCCTCAAATGCCTCTCTGAGTACTGTTCTAATCTTTCACATCCAGCCTGGCCTTCATTTTTATGTAGTTGTGTGTGCCGATTTTGCATGTGCTTGTATCAGCAATTCCCTTTGGAAGGTCTAGGGAGCCTTGCTTGTCTATGGTAAATCATTGGTTGGTTTTAATGGTTTAAATAGTCTTAGTTGGCTCATCCTATGGAACTACACATATATTCCTTTGATCCTAGTACTGGTCTCTGGGCTTAATGTACATTGGTTTAAAAATAGATTAATGAAATGACTCAAATTTGGGTGTTTTCAATACCGTCCCTTAGTCCTGAGAAGAGGACTGTTTAAGAGCAAGGTGTGAGTTCAGAAATTCCATTTTTCATTTTCTGATTCTATTTCTCTCCCCCATTTCCACCTTTAATAGCTTCCACCCTCCCCATCTTTGGAAGTTGTCCCAGAAGCAGCCCGAAAGAATCCAGGAGAGGAAGTTACAGAAACTGCAGGTGAGGGGTCAGAATCCGTCATTAAGGAAGAAACAGAAGAGAACAGTCACTGTAATACTAACACAGAGATGCAGCAGATTCTCACACGGGTTCGGCAGAACTTTGGTAAAATCAACGTGGTGCCTCAGTTTTCTGGGGATGACCTGGTTCCTGTGGAGGTGTCAGATCTTGAGGAAGAGCTTGAGAGCTTTTCTGATGAAGAGGAGGAGGAACAGGAGCAACAAAGAGATGATGTAGAAGAGTCTTCCTCGGAGCCTGAGGAGGAACATGTAGGAAACGACACCAAAGCCGTTATTAAAGCCCTGGATGAGAAGATTGCCAGATATCAGAAGTTTCTAGACAAAGCCAAAGCCAAAAAGTTTTCAGCAGTCAGGTAATATTTTCATCTTCTCACAAATTGCAGATTATTCGTTCCTTTCCCGAAAATTTGCCATGAGTACCAGAGCCATATTTTTACCTGGGGTTATTGCCATTTGTTTGTTTGATTAGGTTTTTTGTTTGTTTGGTTTTTGAGACGGGGTCTCGCTTTGTTGCCTAGACTGGCCTCACTCTCCTGGTCTCAAGCAGTCCTCTCATCTCAGCCTCCTAAGTAGCTGGGACTACACGTGTGCACCACCACATTTGGCTATTATTGCCACTTTTAAAAAGTGAGCTGTAAATTTTGTAAAATGCAGCTGCCTGCAGTATGAGAAGCTTTAGAAACACCCAGGGAGGTACAAATATGTTGGATGTTGACTTCTTCCACTGGTGATAACTACATGGATAGGAGTGGGGTTTCTTGAGTCTGTGAGTTTGTCGCAGGTCTCCAGGTCAGCATGTGATTCGGGGGAGTGAGAGGAGGAATGTTACTTTGCTTTTCTGTTTCAGAATATCCAAGGGACTGAGTGAAAAGATATTTGCAAAACCTGAAGAACAAAGAAAACCGCTGGAAGAACATGTAGATGATACAGGTGAAGATAAATTATTTCAACCATTTAGATATAATTTGTATCTTTAGAGTTTTGAGAAACCTAAGTTCAGTCTCCAAATTATCTCAGTCATCCACATAAATGTTTGTCATATCTGGCAGATTACTTTAAATTTACATACTATTATGCAAATTGAATTATCCACTTTTCATTCTGCACATTTTTTAGGATTAAATTGGCAATTCAGGAAACTTCCTGGAAAGCGTTCATTATTAACCTTAGAATCCAAGGGTGGGTCCACAGACAAAGAAGGGGGCGTGTTTCCTGCATTTATCCTTTCCTCCATTTGACTATCAGCTTCCACATTGAGAGCGTGGCTCAGGGCATCCTGACCTGGCGGCCTCCCCTTGGCCTGCTTTACTCACCACTCTGCTCACCTGCTCTGTCCACACTGGGTGACCTCCTTCCGATACATCAAGCTTGTTCCCACCATTGGGTTTATAAACAAATTTTCAGTAGAAAATTCCTGTTTGTGTATCGTTTGTATCCAGCACCTTCCAAAAAGGGAAAGAAGCGGAAGGCACAAAGGGAAGAGGAACAGGAACATTCAAATAAAGCTCCCAGGGCGCTTACATCAAAAGAAGTAAGTGTTGTAGGGCTTAAGGGTGTCCCAAGTAGAGTAAATAGAACCCCAGTTGTCAAGACCCACTGAAACAAATGGTCTAGAGCTGAATCCCAAGAACCCCAGTCCTCGTTGACCTAGTTGAGGTCAGATAAATAGGGTCAGGGCTGGCCTGGTGGATGAAGGTCCTTGAGTCCATGTCATATGTTTTAGGAGTTTCTAATCAACATCTCCACACCAGTGGACTATCCTCTAGAGGAGTCAGTTTCTAGTCCCAAGGGAAATGACCCGATGAGCAGATCTGTTTTGGGCAGATCACTGACCTCTGTGAAGGACAGCTTTGGAGCTGAGCTGTTCAGAGCTGGAGTGGGCCTTCTGGGGAGGGGAGTGGTTAGCAGCGCTCAGTCTTGCTGCAGGGGACTTGTCAGGAGTGATGCAGAACAGATTCTCGCATTGGATAAGGGTTGGATCACATGTGGATTTGTAACTTGGAGATTCGTAAGTCACAATGGAAGAGTAACCTTAGGTCTAAGGGGGAGCCCTCCCTCATTAGCACTGCTTCCAGTAGCTGTGGAAGCAGCACGGGAAATAGAACACAGAGATGAGAAGCAGGGACTCCTGTTTTGTGAATGACTTTCAGGGTTTTTTTTTTTTTTTTTTTTTTTTTTTTTTGCCATTTTTTACAGCGGAGGCGAGCAGTACGGCAGCAACGGCCGAAAAAAGTTGGTGTGCGCTACTATGAAACACACAACGTGAAAAATAGGAACAGGAACAAAAAGAAGACCAATGACTCAGAGGGACAGAAACACAAACGCAAAAAATTCAGACAAAAGCAGTAATGTTTAAAAGGTTTTTATTAAATTATACAAAAACATGCAATTAGAAATTGTGTTTTCTTCCTGCCCCATTGGCATTTCTAAGGCCATAATGCATTTGTTCTGAGGTTTGACAGTTGAAGCCCTTCACCAGTGCTAGGGAAATAAAGCCTCCTCACCCTTAAGTATTTCAGTGATAAGAGTCTGAAAGTGTAGCACTTCAGGTAGACTGTGGATGAACTAAGAGATTCATCCACAGTCACCCTGTCATATAAATGTCTGACAGAAATAGGGGACGAGGTCTACAAAATGGAAAGGGTGATACTTCTTTTTTATTGGTAATGAGTGATTTGGAATAGAAGCATACTGAACTGCAAATTTCAAGGACGTTAGTGTACATGGCCTGGGCTTTGAGATACAAGAAGGCTGGGTGCGGAAGAAATAGGAGAAAGCGGGCCGGGCGCGGTGGCTCAAGCCTGTAATCCCAGCACTTTGGGAGGCCGAGACGGGCGGATCACGAGGTCAGGAGATCGAGACCATCCTGGCGAACACCGTGAAACCCCGTCTCTACTAAAAAATACAAAAAACTAGCCGGGCGAGGTGGCGAGCGCCTGTAGTCCCAGCTACTCGGGAGGCTGAGGCAGGAGAATGGCGTAAACCTGGGAGGCGGAGCTTGCAGTGAGCTGAGATCCGGCCACTGCACTCCAGCCCGGGCTACAGAGCGAGACTCCGTCTCAAAAAAAAAAAAAAAAAAAAAAAAGAAATAGGAGAAAGCTACAGTAATTTCTGCCTCAATGAGTCTGTGAAGTGGACCCACTTACGACACATACATTCCTGTCTTAGAGTCCTGGAACCAGCAGATCTCGTGGAAAGAGTTCTTTCCCATGGAAATGACAACACAGGCAGGTCATTTGAGTGGAGCCTTAAAATTCCTCAGGATACTGGATCAGGGTAAAAGCTGCCCCTTAGATTCCAGATGAGAATGTGTATGGTGTGTTCAGCTTGGGGAACACAGCTTTTCTGGGGGAACAACAGTGCTTCCATTGTGAGCCTTGAAGCTCACTGGACCCAAGACAGATGGCAGATGGAAGCTCTGCTAAGGAGAGTCCCTTCTCACACCTCTTTCCGGGGAAGCTGACCATGTTAGTGCCTTTTAGGTCATGTTACTTGTGCAGCCTAACTGAAGGATGGAAGTTCTCCAGCTTACCACCCTAGCCCATCCTGCCTTGCCCTAAACTAAAGATTTATGTCACTCATTCAGTCTTCTGGGTCTACAAAACCAGGAGAGTGGAAGAGAAATACTAAAATGCAGTTGTCTAGCAGCCATACTCCAATCATTAGTCATTAGACCTGCATTTGGTTACCTCTTCAGTTGTTAATTAACGTCACTACTTAGGGGAGTGCAGAGTCAGGGCTTGATTTTCTGCAGGATAAGGGGAACAGATCGGTGCTGGGGGAAGAGCTGAGTTGCAGACAACTGAAAGGCCACTGTGACTAGTATTCCTTTCTAGCAAACATTTACTTTCTCCAAAGCCATAGGTTTGACCCTGCCATCGTTTCCTAACGTAGGCAGTCTGAAACCGAGGAGGAAGGGGTCCAGTTGACTGGTAAGTGTGGATAATACATTAGAAAACCAAAGCTCCAAAATGAGTTAGAAATGCATTCGAGCAGGGATAAGAAGATATTAAATAAGGAAGGCCAGAGGCCCAAGAAGCCCAAGTTAGTTAAGGTAGAAGATGAATTGTGAACTAAAAGTTTGAGGAGCAGAGAAGCAGATTCATTTGGCCAGAAGTAAGTATTGGTATAGAGTGATGACGAGATAGCAGTTACTTTCTTAGAATTTGAGCTGGCAGATCCCAAGGCTGACTAGTAAGCCACACACTTAGATTAACAGGGCCACACCATCTTCCATTGCCCAGCCAGGAGCCTAGCTGGCAGACCTTAGGTGTTTCATGACATTGGAGCAATAGTGTGACTTCTGACAAATACCTAGGTGGTGGTTAGGGGAGGGTATAGCTTGCTCACTCAGGAAACGCTTTTTATTACAAAGGGCTTATGATGATTTTATTGGCTGCCAGAAGAACATAGTAAATAATCCCAAGTGTCTTGTTGGAAATTATCATGTGGAAATTATCACTTCTTTGGTGCAATAATGCCTTCCAGTTGGGCCTGAAAAACAAAAACAAACTCCATTAATACTTGAACCTTGCAGCCTGATACAAATAGCTCAGAGGTGATAAAAGTCTCTGGGAAGAATAATCCAAATGCTGTCACTCCAAGTGTTCTTTTTCCCCTTGATCCCCAAATCCATATTTTCTAGATTAGCTAATTTCTGGCTTGGCATACAAGCCAGAGTCTGAGTACATGAGGAGATGCCAGACCTGTCTGGTTTCCACACAATGGCTCTGGGTATGATATAAAGCATTGACAAGGATATTGAATGCATTGTTGTAAGGGCTTTTCATGGCTCAGATTTCAGGCCAGAATATGTCTGCTAAGTTAAATATTTGGCTCTCTGGCCGGGCACAGTGGCTCATGCCTGTAATCTCAGCACTTTGGGAGGCTGAGGCGGGCGGATCATGAAGTCAGGAGATTGAGACCATCCTGGCTAACACGGTGAAACCCCATCTCTACTAAAAA